AAGCATGGGAACTGTTCCGAGGTGAGAGATTTAGATTGTTGATCAGAGAGAAAAGCGCGAGTCCGTGCTAGAGACGTGGGGCGGCGATGTCCCCGTGCCGTGCCGAGAACAACCGGAAACTTTGCGAACGGTGTTTTGAAAGACAATGTGCCCTTCATTGCAGAGGATTTCCAGCTCTCCCCGCTTCGCGCCGCCATGGCACTGAGAGGGAATGTACCGGGCCTTACCGTCTCGGACGCGAAATCCCTCTTGTTCAAGATCAAAACGGCATCGGAGGGGNCCGTGGAGGATCAGGGACACAGGGACGCGGAGACTGGCACCGTCGAGGACGCGGCGGAACTGTGGTCCCGATGAGTGCACCAGCCGCCATCACCGAAGCAGAGGATGTGCCACCCCGCGTCAAGTCGCGTGGTGCTACTGGTAAGTGGCGACGTGAGATGTGTGGCAGGGAAGAGTGGGCAACCTAGAAAGGAGGAACCCACCTCACCCCACCCACCCAATTGTATAATGTTATACATACCGACGTCTATGAAACATCATACCATATGACAACAGAAATGCCCCCCTTGTTTTACAACCCTGTGTAGGCGAGTTCAAAACAAACTGGTCAGAGCTCGGCGGTGTAGACCCATATGCCTGCTGCATCAGCGGCTGCATCAGGGGGTGGTTCATCGGTGCTAAGACTGGCAGTACGCGGCCGGTCGCATTCACCAAGCAATACTGCTGCTGAAAGCCGCTGTGGGTTATGCGTGGTTTGATGCCATACTACAATGGCCTGTCTGTTTTCTGCGCCAACGTTTGGCGTTTGTGCGTGGGCAATCCGGGAGTCAACAGCAGGAGGGAGGACCCCTGACATGGGGAGCGCGGGTAGCCAATCCACACGGAAGTGTCGTGGTTTACATGGGCCCAGGCGTGCAACGTTTTGTGTCAATGTTTGGTTGCATGGGCGGAATACCGGGGGCGATTTCATGGGCCATGCCCCGCCCAACGAGAGCTCGATGGATTAAGGCATAGATTGCATATGTGA